TTGTGGTGAATGCCCCAACCATAAAATTATTTTTGTTGCTACTTCATCATTGTCATTTGGCTACTGTGATGAATCGGGCGACCCCTATGGGGTCTTCGCCCACAGGTTGAGAACTGCTGGGTTATAACCTTCTGAGCCTCCTTCTCTCCCTTGAAGTTAAGTGGCCCAGCAGATTCTCTCAGAAGCCACTGGTTTGCTTGGAACCTGTTCTCTGGCTCTTATTGGTAAAGCCAAGATTCATCCTTGGTTATGATTTGTTGCATCAAATCATCTTCATTAGCTTCAGTCTTGCTTAAAAGACTGATGGGAAAAATCAGCTCTCGGAGCTGGCTGACATTCATGCAATGCTTTTGGCACCATTCCAGCCCAAAGCTCATTGAGGGCAAGATGTTCTCTTTAAACAAGAAATGCTGCCCCTCACATGGGAGGGGCAGCATTTGGGGAGGGACTGCATCAATGTTAATTCTATGGTCTTTTCCACCAGTTTCTGCACTCTAGCCACAGCTTCATCACAGCACAAAAAGTATTTTTTGTGGGGACGACACCCTTAAAAGATTTGTCTGTAGCCATCTACTGATGGCAGGGACATGTCTAATCATGTGTTACTTGTAACAAAGTCACGTATATATGAATTGGAACCCTGGTAGCAATACTTTTTTTTGTTACTCTTGTATAACTTCCTGCCATCTTTATTGCTAGTAACAGCTTTACTGAGATCTAATATATACACAGACATGTAGTTCACTTATTTAAGAGTATAATTCAGTCATTTTTAGTAATATTCACAGCATTGTATAGCCATCACCACTAATTCCAAAACATTTCCAACTCCTACTTAAGTAACCCTCTACCCATCTACCTTCCCAATGTTCTGGAATATTTCTGTCCATATAGCTTTGTCTGTTTTGGGCATCTTATATCATTCCATGCAATCTTCATAACCATCCAATAAAGAGGCATTATATCATTGCCTCATGTCACAGATGAGAACACTGAGGGTCAGAGACATGAACTCACTCGACTGATCTCACACAGTTAGGAAGTGGTGGAGCCAGGATTCAAACTTCGGCATTCTGCCTGGTTCCAGAGAGCACAGGGGTTACCAAGATTGTGCACCACAATGATATAGGAGGCATCAAGCAAGTGGATGATCATGCGGCCCCTCAGAAGAAGAGGATGGTCTTTCAAGACAAAGGGGTCTGGGTGGGAGTTCCAACACTGCCACTTAGTAGTTTTGCAATAGGAACCTTACCCTCTCCCAGCCGCTGTTTCCTAGGTTTTCTCATCTGTGAAATAGGTCTAGTAGTCACCCCATAGGGTCATTACTCACTGCCACTGAATCAATGATGACTCATAACAACACCCTGTGGGTTTCCAAGACTCTCACTGTTTATTGGAGTAGAAAGGCCAGTCTTTCTCCCAGGGAGCTGCTGGTGGTTTCCAACTGCTGACCCTGTGCACACCAGCCCGATGTGTAACCACACCATCACCAAGGCTCTATATATGGTCATTATATGAACTGATTTACATAATGCATATGAAAAACACTTAGTATAACCTCTAGGTATAAAATGCTTAAAAAAAAATTCACTCGGTTGCTGCAGAGCTGATTTTAAGTCATGGCAACCTCTTGCCTGTCAGAGTTGGTCTGTGCTCCATAGAGGCTTTCAGGGTAGTGACCTCTTGGAAGCAGATAACCAGGATTTTCTCCCATGGTGCTTAACCATTGGCACCACCCGGGGACTCCAGGTTTATACTCAAAGACTTGAAAGTAGAAACTTAGAGATATGCACACCAATGTTCAATGCAGTGAAAGATAGTAACAACCTCGATACCATCAACAGATAAAGGGAAAACCAAGGGTGGCACCTACATGCAATTAAATACTAGTTGACCATCAAGAGATATGAAGTTTCACCATATACTTCAATAAAGATGAACCTTAAATATTATGCGAAGGGAAATCACTCCTTCCAAAAAAGGACAAATACTAGATCATTCCACTTAGGTGGAATTATGTGGCACAGGAAATACAGAGTGAGCAAAGTTTCCCAGTGACCACCAGGGGTTGGGGAAAAAGAAAAGGGCCCTGGTGGTGTAGAAGATTAAGTGCTGGGCTGTTTACTGCCAAGGTGAGTGGTTCATATCCACCAGCCATTCAGCAGGTAAGGTGAGGCTTTCTACTCACATACAGATCTACAGCCTTGGAAACCCAATGGAGCAGTTCCACTCTGTCCTATGGGATCAATATGTGGCAGAATTGACTTGATTGCAGTGAGTTTGTTTTTAGAGTTTGGGGAAAATGAAGAATTACTTATGGGGTACTGAATTTCTGGTTCACCAAAAACCAAACCCACTGCCATAGAGTTGATTCTGTCAGACTTGTAGTAACCCTACAGGACAGAATCGAACTATCCCTGTGGATTCTCATTCACTCATTCACTCACTCACTCACTCAGTCTCACTGCCTTCGAGTCAATTAAAACTCATAATGACCCTACAGGACAGGGTAGACCTGCCACCTGTGGGTTTCCAAGACTAATTCTCTGTGGAAGCAGAAAGCCTCACCTTTGTCCCATGGAGTGACTGGTAGTTTCCAATTGTTGACCTATGTTTAGCAGCCCAATGCATAGTCACTACAATACCAGGGCTCCTCCCCTGTGGGTTAGTAAAACCAGACTCACTGGCATAGAATCTATGCTGACTTACAGCAACCCTACAGGGTAGGGGAGAACTGCTCCTGTGAGTTTTCAAGACCGTAATTCTTTACAGGAATAGAAAGCCCCGTCTTTCTCCGCAGAGCAGCTGGTGATTTTGAACTGCTGATCATATGGATCACAGCCCAACGCATAACCACTACACCACCCACCAGAGCTGCTGAGTTTCTGGTTAGGGGGGTGAAAACTATTTGGAAACGGATAGTGGCAATGGTTGCACACTACGGTGAAAGCAATCCATGTCACGGATTCAAAACCGTTCCAGAGGCAAATACTTCATTATTTCAACCAACATTAACAAAACACCACTTGGTATATAGTAGGAGTTGAAGAAATGGGAACAAATCTACTACTGTTAATTATTAGTCATATTACCACCGAGGGCAGATTACTTCCTGAGCTGACCAAACATTATGCTCTCCTAGGCCATGACCTCTGTTTCATCTCTTTGATAGAGAGATGGCTATGAGGTTGAGTAAAACCAACCCACACTCTATCCCAGGAGTTCTGAGCCTGGGGTCTATGGAGGGGCTTTGGGGAAAGGATGGGTTCAAGGACCTCCTGAAAGGATTGGCAAAACTCTGAGGTCATTTCTCTGGGGAGAGAGTTCACAACTCTCAGCTGCTTCCCAAAGCAGCTTCTCAAAGCATCCTATGGCCCCAGAACAATCAAGAACTTCCGGCACAAACCAATGCATGTGGTGTTCTGGCTAGAAATGTGTTCAGTAGCATTTACCAGTATCCTATTTGAATGTCTGATAACAAAACGCCAAATATTTGTGTGTGTGTGTGAGGGGGGGGCATCGTATCCTTGATTGCTTAAAAGAATGTCCTGGGGTCACCAGTGGCATCCATCACCCACTGGATTCAACTCGCCAACCACTTGACAGAGACCTTTGGGGGCAGTGAGGGGGTGCTAGTGGGGGAGGAATAAGCCAGAAAAGGAGGATGAGACTGGTTGTGCAATCCTAAAACGGCATCAACGTCACCGGTTTGTACTTGTTTGACACTGTTCCATCAGTTAATTTTGTTGTGTCGAATCTCAACAACAAGACATGTAAACTTTGTGAAAGGAAAAATGGTATGCCTTGTGTTGACAGCAGCCAAAAACGTGAATGTACTACAGATCACTGTACTGTGCACTTCTAAATGGCTACAATAGCGATTAAAACCCCAACTGATGTGCTTTGGTGGTTGTTGCTCGAGCCCTAGTAGCATAGTAGTTACATGTTGGGCTGTGATCCTCAGAGTCAAGAGTTGGAAACCACCAGCCACTCTGTGGGAGAAAGATGAAACTTTACTCCCGTAAAGAGTTAGTGTCTCAAAAACCCACAGGGGTGGTTTTACCTTGTCCTATAGGGTCGCTTTAAGTCAGCTTCAACTTGATGGCAGTACACTTGGTTTGTGGTTGTTGCTGAGCAACAGCCATTCAACTGTTTCTCCACGTGCCATTGGGTGTCATTGATGACACTCTGCCATGATGGGGACCATTCTCACCCTCCTCTTCCGAGTTGCCCCCTACCACTAACATAAACTCACTGTCCCCCTAAGCCTCCTATTGAACCTTTCCAAATACTGTTGTCAATCAAACACGATAGATTTTTGTCATACAAGTAGTTGATGACAACAACCAGTCAATAATTATGTAAATAAATAACTAATCTGGTGCGATGCAGGTGTCTACCTGCCTTGCACACTAAATTCCTACTGGCCCCAAGCTCAAAGCTAGCCACCTCAAGTGTGAGGTGGTTAGGCAACTAGTGGGTTAAGCCCCCAAACCAAATTGCCTCTTGTTCCATGAGGCTCCAAGCCAATCCTAAGCAGGCTTTCCCAATGGTGCAAAGAACAACCCTGCCCAAGGCCCTCTTGCTCGCTTGCTGGGCCTTAAGTTCTCAAGGAAAGAAAAGGAAGAACTGCTATCCAGGGAAGGGCTTGTTATTCATTTCCTTCTCCAACACATCTTTTGCTTTCCAACCTCAGCTGGGACAACACAGTCTGTAGCCCCAGGGGTCTAATCCACTGGCACATCTTCTAAGAGATAAGTGAGCCTGCCCCTCTGGATATAGCTGGAGAATCTCACTCACACCTATCAAGTTGATGTCCACTCACAGTGACCCTATATCTGGAGAATGGGACTTGAAAAGAAGATGGCGGGACATTCTTCATAAGCTTGTCAATAAAAGGTCCATTCACAGAGCCACTCCAGAGTGACTAAAACAAGGTGGCTATCTGAGGAACAAAGGTGGTGTCTCCGTCCAGCCCGAGAGCCCATCCCAGCACTCACCTTGGGTCCATGTGAACTCCGGACTATGGGTTGGGGTTGCAGTGGCTGCTGCTCCGCATTTTCCTTCTCTTTGCCACACTTCGCTTTCTTGGGTGGCAGTGACTCGGTCATGTCATCTGGCTGCCACTTGTTCTTGCAAGTGAAGACTCCAACAGTTTCCTGTTTCACTCGCGCCTGCCCAGCCTGGCCCCGAACCTCGGCCTGGCCCCTCTGGGGAGCTGTCGGAAGGCTGTCGGCCCGGAAGCAGGTGGCTAGATTGAAGACCACGTCGCCTTCCACTTTCTCCATTTTTACCCGCCCCAAGTCCACCTGGCTTCCTAGCTGTGGGAGCTCAGCGCTTGGGCCCCTCTTGCTGCTTGGAACCACATCCAAGATGAGCTCCTTGGGGTGGCTGTCATGAGGTAGCAAAGGCAGCTCGTGGGACATGTAGGTGGCCAGTACTTGGTTCTTGGGCTTTGTGTCTCCAGCCAGCTTCAGGCTACAAGCCCCCTGGGGGCCTTCCATCTTAGAGGTGCTGTCAGGGCAGAGGTGGGTCTCGGACTCCTCCAGGCCCTGGTTCATTCTCACATCCCCACTGCTGGGCTGAACAGACAGGGCCAGGGTCCCTGTCTGAGGGCTGAGAGTCAAGAGGACGGGGTTGACTTGTTCTTCATAAGGCTTGGCAGCAATCCGGCAAGTTTTGTTCTTTGAGACTGTGTCCTGCTCAGGCACAAAGGGGACCCCAGGCCTGGGCTGCCCATCGGGAAGTCCATGCACAGGTTCACCAGAAAACTCAGGCACCACACTGCTGGGCCGGATGGGCACGCCCTGCTGACTGGGGCTCAGCTGTCCAGCACCGGAAATGCCGATGGAAAGCAGAGATGGTTGGTGATATGGTGACCAGCCTACAGGCAGGACCTGGGTGCTAGTGGCTTTCCCATTGACTGAACACCGAGAATAAATATTTGCCTGCCCTGTGGGTTTCCACAATGAGAGATCCTTGGTTTGGCACCCTGGCAGTCCAGGGGCAATGCGGGCTGGTGGATAACGTTTGACTGTGCTTGGCTGTCCCTCAGCACCGGCCTGACTACCCTTTTTAGTGCAAGGGGCAGCCGTGTTCTTCGGCTCACCTTGATCAATGATGGAGATGGGCTCCTGCTTGGGAAGATGGCGGGGATCTCGGGGGAGGCCCAGGTTGGGGTCTTTGTTCAGCAGCAGGGAGGCAGGCACTGGGTTGGCCACGCCCACGTAGGTGCCTGGAATGGTGCTGATGAGTGCAGTGGAATTCTTCACCCAGGTGCTGGGGTCGCCGTTCCTCACAATCTCAGGGAAGATGACAAAAGGGGAGGATGTGGAGCCCAGGCATGAGGTGACACCACTGCCAGCTGCCTGGGTCGTGCGCTGAGACCTAGACAGGACTGTGGAGAGGAGGGCCTTGCTGCTGGTATGCACAGGAGTCAACACTGGCATGGGGGGAGTCTTGCGCTGGTTCGGCAATGGAAGCTTCTGGCGGTTGGACTTGGAGGAGAGATCAAGGGGCATCTCGCTGCACTCTGAAGGAGAGGCCATCTCTCGCTCCAGCTGTGGAGGTGACTTAAGGGGAGAGAAGGTGACGGAAGTCCCTTCTGTTTGCTGCTCTGTGCCGCCAGGCATCTTGGCTGGGTGTGGTGGGGCTGAGCTCCCACTGGGGGCTGGCAGCAGAGGCTGTGCAGCTGGAAGCAACTTGGCAGAAGCGGTGCCGGTGCCGGGGGCCGTCTCTGCCAAGGGCCCAGGGACCCCATCAGGGGCGGGCTGGGTGCTGGTGCTGCTAGACGGGGAAGTGCAGGGCAGCCTGTTCACCTCCAGGGGCACCAGCTTGGAGTCGGAAGTCAGAGGTCGGGCCACCGAGAATGCATACGGGTAGGAGCGGAGCTCTGGGGAAGCCAGCACGCCAGGAAGACACCGTTCCTGCAGGTAGGATGGCAGGACAGGAAGGGTCAGGGTGGAGGAGACCCCAAGGGTGGTTGGCAGTGTGGCCACACTGAGTGGCTGCCCACAGCTCGGAGGTGGGATATAAACCAGTGGTGGGCTGGGGGTCAGGACTGTCCCCGGCTGAAAGGACAGGGGGACTTTTTGCATAGCTGGTGCTTGTGCTGCAGGAAAGCACACTCGATTCAAACTGAAGGAGGCAGGGATTGGGGCCGAGGTGGGGATGACAGTAGGTGTGGCGGCCGGCATGGGTGTAGGAGCTGGAGTAAAGATGGGGGCCGGCGTGGGGGCTGGCACTGGGGTCGGGGCAAAGGCTGGGATGAGGGTGGGAGTAGAAGGTGGGCCGGAGGAGGGGGTGGGGGTAGGCATCGGTGCTGCTGGAGGTGGGGGAGCTGCTGGAGGAGTGGAAGATGGCATGGGGGCTAGAACAGGAGTGGGGACAGGAGCCAGCACCAAGGTCGGAGCTGCGGGGGGCACAGGAGCCTGGATGAGGGCCAAGGGAGGTGCAGAAACAGGGACTGAGAGAGGGGCAGGGGTGGGAACAGAGATGGGGACTGGACCTGAGGGGGAAGCAGACGCTGGCACAGACACCAAGACTGAGGCAGAGACTGATGCTGGGGCCAGAGCTGGAACTGGTGCTAAGGGAGAGGAAGGTGCTGGAACTGAAGTGGTCACTTGGACAGGGACTAGCCCGGAATGGGGCACTGGGGCAGGGACAGAGAGGGGAACCTGGAATGGATCGGGAACAGATGGGGGAACAGAAACTGAACCAGGAGCAGGGGGGCAGATGGGGGTTGGCATTGAGCTGAAGTTGGTGGTAACCAGAGGCAGGGTCCCCTCCATGGGGACACCTGTTCCCAGAGTTGCCAAAATGAAAGTATTCTTCTCTCCGCCGCCGTGCCGAGAGTCCGGAGCCTTGCCGGAGGTGGAGGAGGCCGAGCTGTCGGCCTGCTTGCTCATTTGGACACTGAGGGGTGCCCAGGGACACTCAGCCCTGCTGTTGCCGGCCTCGGCGCTGTCAGGAGGGGGAAGCTTGAGTGCGTCCCCTGGGCTGCTCAGGGCCCTGACCAGGCCATCGGCTGCTGCCTCGTTCCCAGCAGAGTCCATTTTCGGTTGAGGGTCATCAAGCTTTTCTCCTGACTTGTGCCCAAGTTTCTCTGTCGCACAGCCATCTGTGTCTGCCCCCCGGGCATTGCTGCCACTACCAACCGCTGTGAGCTCCACCTGCAACGACAGAGCCGTGCGCATGTCTTAGCACACTCCCTTTTGGTGGTGCAAGGGTCCCTGAGTGACCACTGCAGGTCCTCTCTGAAACTCCACCCTCCAGGTCTAGGCAGACACCTCCAACCACACCTGGGAAACATCCAAGGGCCTTCCCACATCTCTCCCTAGGATAGCAGCCTGGGTGTGTCACCCCAGACAGGTCAACCCCACCCTCTGGTGAGCAGCACATGGCTCCACATGTCCCCTTACCTTGGAAAAGCTGCTGCTGACACAAAACTCCTGAGATCCAAAGTGCTGGCAGTCACCTGTCGTGGACTCCTCATCAGAAAGAGGTGCTCTTCTAGCAGGGGGAAGAGAGCCAGAGGAGGGAGGGCCATGAGGCCTGGTCTGGGGCCAACCGCCACCTGCTTCCCAGTGTCCCCTGACTGCCTGGAGGCCCCTAGAACCTTCCAACCTGGCTTCCCTCAGTGGCTTGTGAGGTATTACAAAGAATTGGGTTGGGTTGGGGGGCTGCTAGGCTGCAAACTGCGGCTTTCTCAGTTTGGCAAGTTCTTCCCAGCAGGTGATCCTCCCCAGGGTGGTCAGGGCACTGTCTGATTTTAAGTCTATCAGGGAGGCTGGCTGGAGGTGCCATATGGGCACCATGTTTTATACCCTAAATCTGAATTTTCACCTTATCATCTGATACGTGGCCACCAGGTCACAGGGTGCTGAGAGGAGTATGAAGGGCACTCTTTCCTGCCCACAGCATACATCTACCTGGTTTTAGCATGCCCCCTGGCTCCAGGCCCATACCCTGTCTCCGACCGCTGGACCCTGCATAAATTCTATCTGTTTCCATCCCCACAATCTTCCCTCAACCACTCAACACCACCCCATTCACTTTCAGCCCAAAGGAAGTTACTTAAGGCCACAGGAGCCAAGTTCTGGCTAGCATACCCCAGATAAAGAGCTCCAGGACAAAGAGAGATGGGTTCCAAAGGAAGAAACATCCACTGTCCTTTGGCCTGTACACAAATTTGTCTCCAAATTTCAAGTGAGAGTATAAGAAAATGGGCCATCGTGACCACAAAAGGGTCACGTGAAGAGGGTGACACTGAAGAGGGGTCCAATCCCCTCTGAAAGCTGGGTGTTTCATGGTTTTCAGCACAGCAATAATGTCCTGTCCCCTTGTCTCCTGCCCAAAGGATGATGAAGCAAGAATAGGAGCTTGGAGTGGCAAGTGGGGGAGATATGGGCTAAAGCAGAAAGCCCTCACATAACCAGCTGCAGCCCATCTCCTAGGTGGGCAAAGCACTAGGATGTTCTGTGTCTCTCAAGAAAAGCTTGGACTGTCCTCAGGATTGCTTCCCTACTGTGTCCCTGAAGAAATCGGCTCCCACCTCCCCGGCTGCCCTAGCCAAAGGGCAGTCAGGGTGCTCGGGTCCAGACCCAACCAGAGAAAGGAGAGCTCAGCTAACTAACTCCCACATGTGCAACCAGGTACCATCGAGGGCTCCGAAACTCTACCTTGGGCAAGACTGGCAAATAAACAAACAAGGAGGGGGCAGTCACCACAGGCCTAACCCCATCTTCGCAGGGTTCCATGATGAGCTAACTGGTAGAGGGTGGGGAACCACTTGGTTCCGTTAAGAAACAGCCAGGAGGGCAGAAGAGAGACAAACCACAGAAAGGCTGGAGGAGAGGCAAGGATGGCAGGATGGTGTCAGGGGGAGGGAGGATGGAGACATTCACAGCAACCTCTGAGAGACCAGAAAAGTCTGCCCTCTAGCCTGCCTTGGGACAGGGGGGCAAGCATGGTCTGACTAGATTTACCAGGGGCGGTTTGTGGGGTAGATGGGGGTCAAGAGGAAACAAGGGGCAGCCCCCCCACTCCACCCCTTTGGGGCTGCAGAGGGGCAGTGTTTTTAGCTTTCTCTCCCCTCCTCACCGGACAAAACGGAGAGAGAGCCAGCTGCAGACGCTAGCCCCCTGCTCAGCTCTCATGAAGGGCTCCTTCCTGAGTGGAGTCTGCCATCAGAGAATAACAACGATGACCAAAAGGACCTGGGAAGTAGTAGCAGTGAGAGCAGCTGTCCCAGCCATGCCAGGGACCAGACCCATGAGTGTGTCCCAACCCCTGAGGTCTGGCAAAATGTCCTGGGGCCTCATTTCAAACCTTTTGAAGAGAGAGAGGTATACAGAGCTGAGGCAATGCTCAGTTCCTCAGCTGAGAGCTTCTGGGACCAGAATGGTTTACAGGGTTGGTGGGGGTGGTGGAGGAGAGCAGTGGGAGCTGGGTCAAAGGGGAAAGGTTATGAGGGGGGCAGGGGCAGAGAGGGGGAGGGGAGGGCATGGGTCAAGGCAGGCTTCAATCAGGCCTGAAAATCAATCCTACTGCTTCATCCCACCAGAGATGCCCCCTTGCCCCGGGCTGTTAGTTTCTTAAACTTTAACCAGAAATGGACATAGCCTTTCAGGGATATGTCCCTGATTACCAAGGACCAGCCTCCACTGTCAAACTGGACCTCTTTCACTCCCTTGTTGAGCCCCGATTACAGGAGTCACAGTAATATCTGAGCCAGTCCACACTAAGCCCCTTACCTTCTAGCCCATGCCTCCAGGACCACCTTCTTCCCAGCCAGAGCCCTCCCTAAACCCTCCCTTCCAAATCCTCTTCATCCTTCCAGACCCTACTCAAAGGTCACTGCCACTGGGAAGCCTTCCCTTATTTCCACTGGAAGTTGGTCTTTGCGCCCAAATGCCCAAAGAACCTGGACATGCCACTCTCACTGTGCATCCGAACAATCAGCCCCGTGTGACTGCAGGTTTGCTCTCATTGTGTTCAATAACACTTTGCAGAAAATGTGCAGAATGAAGGAAAGCATTCATTTTAGAAAGGAAGCAAACAAGCCAAGAAGATCGATTTCACTCGAGACTCAACTAGAGATGGCTGGCCAGGTTGCAAACAGAATGGGAAGAACTCACCCTCAGGTACAGCTTTAGACCCAAAACCTCTCAGTTCAACACGTTGTCAAATGCAAAGGAAGATGGGTTTTAAGTAAGGTGAGATCACATTTTGGAAATCAGCTGTGGCACACGGCCTAGGCTGGGGGTGGAAAGGCTACGATAGAGGGTAGATGAGATCAGAAGTGACAAGCCTTAAAATTAAAAGGTCACCTTAACCACCAGGCATTTCAAGAAAGGTCCTAAAAGAGAGAAGAGTGAGTTGGCGGGCCTACTTCCTGCTCCAGTCTTTGGAAAGAGTTATAATAAATGAAAAAAGTCCTGGTGGGGGCAGTGCCTAAAAGTACTCAGCTGCTAACCAAGAGGTTGGCGGTTCAAGTCCACCCATTATCTCTGTAGGAAGAAGACCTGACTGTCTACTCCCATAAAGATTAGAGCCCTGAAAACCCAACTGGGAATTCAGCTCTGTCACAGTAGGTCATTATGAATGGAAGTCAACACGACGACATGATGAAGAATGAAGCAAGGTGATTTCTCTGTTGGCTTTTTGAAGGCTCTAGTCCAGAGATCACTGCATTAAAGTCTCAAATACTTACAGCCAGAGCAACATAACCTACCAATGAACGCTTCACACAGATCCATCGGCCACCCTTCCCTCCCCTGGATCAGCTCTTAATAATTATCAGGTGATATCCCTCAAATACAAAGGTGAATATCTTTCTTCCTCAGTAGCTGAGAAGAATTGTGTCCTGACTAATTTTCTAAAATTAAATTTCTTTCAAGTCCATCTGTAATTTGGTCCTTGGTACAGACAATGAAGACATCAGGCATTAATGGCCTAAACAAGTATAAATGTCTGTTCTCTTTGGCCTAAACCCAGACAAGTAGACAGGCACACACTTTCCCAGTTAGAATAGGATGTGAATGTAGATCAACACAAAGATTAGCTATTCCTTTTCCAAATTTACCAATATTCTTCCTCCACATGCACACATACATACGTACATGCAAACAATTCCTAACTTTACCCAAGGATATGACAGATCTTAAAAGCCATGTTTTGTATTCTAGTTCGTTCATCTGATGCATTTGGATGGAAACAACCAATGGATTGAAACAACAGCTAAATGCCAACAATCATGGGGAAGGGTGTCTTCCCTAAAAAAGGGGAGAAGCAACCATCTCACACAGCTCTTCAGCCAAGGATTATAAAAATCAAAAATACAATTAGAATGTCATTTTTAGTGCTCATGGTACAGGGCATAGTAAGAAAGTGGCTTATCTGGTCAAACATATATTTTGGTGAGCAAAAAGAGGGAAACACCTACGCCAATTAGGCAAGCATCACTATCAACTTAGTATTAACACTCAGTTAACACTCAGTTAACTGAGACCAGAAGGACTAGATGGTGCCCAGCTACCTCTTTCTGGCCATCCTGACCAGGGACACAATAGAAGGTCCCAGATACAATGGGCGTTGCGGGGGGG